TTACCGCCACTGCTGTGGGAACTGTGGCTTGCCGGGCTTGGGTGGGACTTGTGTGTTGCCTTCAGAGGTAGCCAGCCCTGCTCTGCCTGCTCTGAGCCAGGATCCTGGGCTGGAATCTGCTCTGAGCCAGGATCACAGGCTGGGATCTGCTCCGAGCTGGGATCCTGGGCTGGGATCTGCTCCGAGCTGGGATCCTGGGCTGGGATCTGCTCCGTTGGCAGGGCAGCGGTGAGTGCCAGCACTCTCCACGCCATGGAAATTGCCAATTCTCACCTTTTTGTCACTTCTTACCTTTTTGGCACTAATTCTTCCAGCACCAGCAGTAGCGCTTTGCTTTCGCCTGGCAGAGAGGGACTAATCCGTTTTTAAATGGCTCCTTCTCCCTTTTGGGAATAAGCCATGTGAGCCAGAGGACGAGCGGTTAAACCGGGGTTTAATCGGTGCCCACAGCCCCTCGTCCAGCCGGGAGCTGCTACGGCCCCTGTTGCCCTTCGGGACCTCTTCCCGGGCACCGGGGAGCTGCCCCGCGCCTGTCGCTTGCTTCAAGGAAAAGAAGAAAGATCTCTGGAAGGCCGAGGTTCCTCTGGGTGCTGCACGGGGTGCGCTGAAGCGCCGTGGCGTGGCGAGCCCCTCTTCCCTCGCTTCCTCCTTTCCTGAGCGGAGAAGAGATGTCCCCCCAAGCAGCTTGGGGACATCAGCCTTGGGGCCGAAGGGGCCAGATTCTGCCTGGGGCGGTGCAGAGTCCAGCCCTGCGGTGCCCGGAGTCCGTGGGGTTTAGCCTGGGTGCTCCAGAGGGAGCCCAGACCCCGCACAGAGGGGGAGCGAATCCCGAGGCGGATTCCCATGGGATGCTCTCACCAACGGGAGCCCCGTGCGGAGCTGCGCCAGCGCCCTGCGATTCCACAGAGGAAATTTAGGGGTCAAAGATAAAAGCTTTGGGCCTGCACGCAGCCCAAATACATTGATACGCTTGGGGAAACACTGCCTCGTCACCAGATCCCGGGACAGACTTTGCTTCGGGGCTCCGAGTCCTTCCTAAAAGCT